CTGAGTTTTTCAACCTGATATTAGAATGAATAGTTTGAGCAGAAGTGAATCACATTGGCATAGAAGAACAGTTACGAACAGTTTATTTTTTTTGATTTCATTTTTTAATTACTTATAATAATAATATTTAGTATCATTACTCACGTTTTTACAGCTCTTACATATTCCGAATCAGCATTAGTTTGTGCGTTAATGGAAACGCCCATTGCAGATTCTGCAAAAAACATGAATACAAAAATTTAAATATTAAAGCAAACATCAGTCAGCAATTAAGATATTATTTATTCATATATATTATTAAAAGTATTTTATTTAATTAACATTTTAACAATATTTCGCAACGAAAAAATGTGACCACCAGGCCAGGACCTTTGCTAAGGCCAGGACCTTTCTATTGATTTCTTTAAACAAAATACAATCAATAACTTTATGTGGTAGGTTCTAGTTATAGAATATTTTAAAAAGTCTTAATGTAAAGAGTTCCAATAAATTTAGTTAATTATCTTATGTATTATAAAATGATCTCCAGTTTATGAGATATTAAAACTGAAAATTTTTTGCCAATAAAACTAAGATTTATAACACTCAAAAAAAATATTCACCACAAATTGTGTCCAATGTACACAAATTAATCCAATTGTAGATATCAAATCCATGCTTGGTCTGCATTTCGGACTCCTTTTTTAAATTCTTTAATAAAATACGCGATTCTTTATCAAAAACTTCAATAAATTGATCAAGAATTTTAAAATGAAAAGCGGGAGTTATAACTTTACGCCTCTTATGCCATTTTCTGCCACGACTTACTAATAATCCTTCCTGCAGCCATGGTTCCAACATTTTATACTCTCCAGCTTTATCATTGAAACGCGTTGTACTAAGAATCATCTCTACGTCCTTAATATCACTCATGATCATATTTAATTCTGGGCCTAACCAAATTTTTATTGTTCTCCCATGAGTCTCCATAAAATCCATTATTTGCACTATGTATTGATCTGGGGTTTTGCCAATGAAATAGTGGCCATGGCCAATAATTGGCAGGGCAGGTGGGCTTGGTATATTTTTAGTGACATCTATTAAATGTTTATATTTGAATAGGTAAATTGAAAGTATCGCTAACCAAATGGTAACCGATATAAACACAAGCACAAAAAACATTTTCAACGCACTAATTATGAATGTCAAGGCGATCAAACAATTTCAATAAAACTATTTTGTTTTTAAATTAACTGCATACAATATTAAAGTTAAACGATCAATAAATGGATTTCGGAAAGATAATCTAATCATACTAAACTGATAAATAAAATATATTTTCACATTCGCTTTGCATTTCCAAATTGTTCTGTATGTTTATGTTATCAAGTCTTTTCCCTCAGGGAGATTGTTAATGGCAAATCGGTTTTGTGCTGTTTACCCAGCGATAAATAACTATTACGAGTATATATAACAACAAATTCAAACGACATCAACTTACACTGATGGAGATATACATTTTACACTGATTATATATAGTTTTGAATATCAGGGAGAAGTGTGATTATCTTCTCCTTCCAGTGTCGTTTAGAGCTATCATCATTATTCTTGACATTGTCTGATTATTTGCAAGAGTTTAAAGTACAATACAAGAATATCAAAATAACTGCATTTTCTTTATGTACTTGTACTTGTACGTGTAGACCACGCCTATAAACATTTCTATATAAAAACTACTGATAAAATACTTTTGTATATAAAACCAAAGTTCAAATATATTTATTAGTATGATTTTCATTTTTTATACACTTAATACATACCTATGAATAAATGGAGTTTATTAAGGTTGTCAAGATGTATTGGAGATAGACACTCCAAGGCTTAATGGATTGTTTGTAAATATGTATATTATCCCATTACAATTATTAAAAATATCAGTATGATTTTCATAAATATTAATGCTGACCAGCTATTATGAAAGTTGCAGAATCGGAATCGAAGTTCATTAATCAAACTTATATGAATAGCAACAACATGTTCAACTGTAGGTGCAGTTTTAGATCTTCCTAAATTTTTGGCTGTATTTTCAACATGGTTTTTACATATGTGAGGATATAACATATAAAGTGTCACATAGCAGATAGAGACAGAAAAAGACTTGATCTGGTACAAATACAGAAGAACCTTTTTATTTGTATGTGATGTAGATATGTTGCAATCATATGTAACTATATCGGATACTGGCTACTAAAAAAGCATACCGGTGGAATTTACATTCATTATGAAACCAATCATAAAACTTGTAACGATTACATTTAAAAAAGCTGATCCTGACATGAAGAGAAAACCGCGGACACTGTGAGAATAAGTTAATGTTACTGTAGAAAACAAGGAATACCGCGTACCCATCTTTTCTATTCATAAGAAATTTACTGAATGTTATGGTTATCAACACTATAAAAAAAAGTGTTAATTTATTATAAACTTACTAATTAGTTAGAAAACACGTAACATCGCGTACCCATCTTTCTATTTATTATAAACTTACTTAACAATTTCATTAGCTACATCACAGAAAATATATAATATCGCTGCTCTATTTTTTCAGTGATTTTAAGTTTACCTAATAATTTCGTTAGCGGAACTATAGAAAGTAGATATTATCGCAGCCCTTTCTTTTTATTCATTATAAGCTTACTTAATAATTTAGTTATCTACACCATAAAAAGCAGATAATATCACATACCCACCTTTCTATCGATTATAAACTTACTTAATAATTTCGTTAGCTACACCACAGAAAACAGAGAATATCGCGACCCTACCTTTCTATTGATTAAAAGCTTCATAATTTTCAAAGATTCCAAAGATTCATACTACCCAAAGCTTCCCAATAACTGTTACATTCATATGCAATTTACTTTCTGGAAAATCTGTAGTTTGTGTTATAGAATTTTCTTTGCACTTCATCAGGAATTACTTATAAAAATAACATTTCTATATATAGTAATTTTGCAAATCCTTCTCTAAATATTCATTTTCTTGTAAAATTCTTTGAATAAGTTTCAAAATAATTTTGAATAGATGAAAGATCCATCCATCTAAACTTCTTTTACGAAAGTGAGTAATATAAAGTTTAAAGCATGAGCGTTACCCAATAAATTAATTTTATGGAATAATATATTACATGGCTTATTGTTAAACCCATTTGGTACTCTCCAGGCATATTTTATGAGCCATCAATAGAATTAAAATTGAACTTTCTAATATCAACATTCATGCTCACTTAGAAAACGAAAACGGTAATCAAATCACACTTTTCCAATTTTTAAAACCTAGTACTTAAACAATATATGGAATTTGATTAATTTGGGAATATATAACGAAAATATTATGCTAACATGAAACCGGTGATGCACTATAAATGTAAGATCTGCAAAATATTATAGCCAGAACACATCTCAAGTGAAGAACGTTATAGCCGAGTACACATAGAGAAGTCGAAAGTTATCCTAAGTGTTCTCAAAATACTTAACACGATAATGCGAACTTAAGTTTAATAATTTTCATCATAAACTACATATGTATTAGACCCGTCTGTACAAGGTATAGTTTGTGTACGTATATCAAAAAAAGAAATAAAGTTATAGTTATATTTGTTGGAAAACTACAATTCGTGGTAGTCATACCACAGTATTAATGCCGATCATGATATAAAACTAATGATTCCAGTATATTGTCAGATCAACGGTTTTATTCATCGAAAATAATGTTCAAACACTTTAAATTCCTAATGCCCACTACTTCTTAATGCCCATGCTAAACGACTATTTTAAAGAATAATGATGCCAATTTCTATGTAAAAATTTTAATAAAATTTGGTATAAATTCTAATAAATATTTGTTATTATAATTGACCTAATGTTGTTCTTTCAGATTACTGATGTGTAGAAACCAATGCAGAAAAACTGCATATTCCTAATGGTAATATTTTTGGAGAAAACTTAGGAGAAAA